AAATCAAATCAAATCAAATCAAAAAAATCTGTGCATTAAATAAAATATTATTTTAAAATACATTAAAAAAATAAAAGAAAAAAAACGGGTCACTTACTAGCAGGCAGAATCAGCAGCACTCCGATGCGATGGATGGATCCTTGTCGCGATGGATGGAAGCAACAGGGAGAGGCAGGCAGCAGGAATAGGTAACACACTGGACCCTCAGACAAGGCTAGGGTCACTAAGCAGGTTGCCTGGCAGACTTAGCCAGCCAGATGAGGCTGGAGAGGGGGGGTGGGGGGCTTCCCTTGTGAAAGGTAGGCCGCCTTCGACGCCAGGCCATGGCTTTCACGAGGAGGCCTTCCCTTGTGAAAGCTAGGCCTTAAGCCGCGTGGCATACGCGAGCCCGCAGATTTCGTGAGGGAAGACCTGGAGGCCTTCCCTTGCGAAAGGTAGGCAACCTTCACCGCTAGGCTGTGGATTTTGCGAGGGAAGGTATGGAGGCCTTCCCTTGCAAAAGCTAGGCTGCCCCCCCCCACCTTTGGCCGCTACCACCGCTACCGCCGCTACCACTGCTACCGCCACTACTGCTGCTACCACCGCTACCGCCACTACTGCCGCTACCTCCACTACACCGCTACTGCCGCTACCACCGCTACTCCCCCCCCGGCTTTGGCCGCGTGGCATGCGCCAGCCCACAGCTTTTGTGAGGGAAGGCGTTCCCTCGCGAAAGCTGGGCCGCCGCCACCCACCTGAAGCGTTCCGAGTCCCACCGCTGGGGCTTAGTTGCTTACCTGAGGGGGAAGCAGCAAGCTCCTGGAAGGCAAAGGCCTAAGGGAATTTTCAAATGGAGGTCAAGAGCGAATAAACGCTTCACTTCGCTTCCAGCCCGCTCACTGATTGGCTGGACTCCAGCCAATCAGTGAGTGGCAGGCTGGGCTTAGTGCGGATGGGCAGGGTAGTGACTGAGAGAGCTGCAGACGGGCGGGGGAGCGAGCGAGCAAGCGAGCTGTGACGCGCTGGCAAAAGGGCACTTTGCAGCAACAGGGGCCAGGACCGGTACTGGCGTTCCCGAAAGTTAATTACTTCTGGGTTCACCGACCAACCAGTACCCGCGAACTGGGATGAACCGGGAGGAACCCACCCCTGCTGGTGCTCTTATGCACACCCCTACTTTTGACTGCATGTCGACCATTCCTGCATGTTTTTTAGCTTGGTTGCAATTCCATCCAGACCTCACACAATTCAAAATAGTCCCTGTGATTTTGGAAGGCAAGGCTTTCTTTTGAAAAATGAGGGAAAGCGAGGCAATCAAGATATGTGTATCAGAGGGGGAGGGGGTAGTTAATATCAGTTTGCAAATTTTACCTCCCCTTAGATTTTTTTTCATTATGAATATTCACACTTCCCATTCTCTTGACAGCAACATGCATTCCATTCTGTAAATAATATTTCAATCAAAAATCCACTTTCCCTGCAAGCTGTAAATAAATAAAAAAACTCAGAATCTCAGAGAAACTGTCATCTAGAAAATGAGTTGGTGCTTAGCTGTGTAACTATTCCCTTTCCGACATCTAAAGGGATTTGCATCATAAGCACTATTTTATGCTCTGGTGTCTTCTATAACTGGAGAGGCTTATAGATACCACCTTTTGGTGGAGGGCAAGAAATTGCTTATGCGTATTCTGGTTCACCCTTGAACAGTGTGACACTACCATTAAATCTTTTGCTGATTGCCAAGCAACAAAATATTTTCATGCCTGTGAGTCTTGTGGAGAGAACTAGATTGCAAAGGTGGTGATACAGTAGTTACTAATAGGACTAGGAACACCTGAACGATAATTTGTGTTGATGCATAGTTGATACATTGCTACAGCCCAAAGGAAGGAGGGGAGGGATCTGTGCAATATCATCCTGATTTATACAATGAAATTTTTGTGAGCTAGGTTGTTTTCTTGCAGACCCAAAGGTGCTTTTTCAGGCGGCAACTGGACTTTCTTGTTTTTTCTTTGAAGATGTTTTGCTTCCCATCCAAGAAGCTTCTTCAACTCTGACTGAATGGTGGGGAATAGAAGGATTTATATTCCTTGCAAACAGCTGGTCATTTGCATCCTTTTAGAGAGTCATTGAAGCACTTGGAGGTTTATCTGTGTCTTCAGGGTCACCTGAGTATTGCTCCTGGTTCCTGTAGTCTGCAGTCCCCCCCCTCTGGAAATCCATTCCTACTCCCACACCATTCAAAAGGTGTTCATCTCACAAATAGTTCTGTAGAGATTCTCAGTCATCCAGGTCATGGTTGTCCCAAAGGTGCTTTTTTAAGAGGCAACTGGACTTTTTTGTTTTTTCCTTGAAGATGTTTCACTTCTCATGTCCCTCGCGTACAAATCAACATGAAGACTGCACTCTGTGGAAAAGGATTTAATGCTGAGAAAGGTGGAATAAGAAAGAAGAAAAAGACAGCCAGGAGCAAGGTGTCGCAAAGGTGCTTTTTCAGTGGGAAACTGGACTTACTTGTTTTTTCTTTGAAAACATTTTGCTTCTTATCCAAGAAGCTTCTTCAGGTCTGTCTGGATGGTGGGGAATGGAAGGAGTTATATTCCTTACAGACAGCTGGTTATTTGTATTCTGTTAGAGTGAGGCCACTTGTAGGTTTATTTGTGTCCTCAGAGTCGGCTGTGCAAATGGGACAACTTTCCAGAAAAATTGCAAACTACAGGAACGATTTGCTCTTCAATTTGCGATGCAGATAACACAGACTCATCTCCAGCAGCCTGCACCTCTCTTCAACAATGATGGGACACAGGACAGAAAACATCCTGCTGCCAAGAAGGCTCTACATCCATTTCCATTACTCAAGTGACCCTGAATACACAGATAAACTTCCAAGTTGCCTCAATGGCACTCTAAAAGAATGCAAATGACCAACTGTCTGTGAGGAATATAAATCCTTCCATTCCCCACCATCCAGTCAGAACTGAAGAAGCTTCTTGGATAAGAAGCAAAATGTTTTCAAAGAAAAAACAATTAAGACCAGTTTCCTACTGAAAAAGCACCTTTGCGACACCTTGCTCCTGGCTGTCTTTTTCTTCTTTCTTCTTCCACCTTTCTCAGCATTAAATCCTTTTCCACAGAGCGCAGTCTTCACATTGATTTGTACATGAGGGACATCATTAGACTGCGCAAAGCAGCCCAACTGGGATATCAATATCAATGTTTTATTATGTAATGAATAAATGTGGGGTATTTGAGGCTTGTTTGTTTTGTCCCATTGGTAGCATGCCCAAACTGGTAGTAAAAATATTGGCAACCCACCACTGATCTGACAATATAGCAAACCACAAAATGGTATATGAATAACTAAAAATAAATAAAAATGAGAGCAGAGAAAATAAAGAACAAGAAGGCAATCCAGCCAACAATCTTTCCCAAAATCCCAAGAGGGGTTCCAGCTACTCAAGCCCAAGGTTTGAAAAATTGTCAGATGTTTAAGACCTTCCTCAATGACCTACGATTGGGAGATATCCAGATTTCAGAAGGAACCTCATTCCAAAGTGCCAGGGCTATGACAAAGAAGGTCTGATTCTTGAACCCCAATAGATGATACTGTCTAATTGAAGTGGCCCAAAGAGTGCTGACTCAATCAGCTTGTATTGGCCATGTAGAGTCTATGGGGGATAAGCATTTTGTCAAATAACCAACAAGAAGCAATAAAGGTAAAGGTTTCTTCACACATATGTCCTAGTCGTTCCTGATTCTAGGGGTTGGTGCTCATCTCTGTTTCAAAGCTGAAGAGCCAGGGCTGACCAAAGACATCTCCGTGGCCATGTGGCTGGCATGACTAAACGCCGAAGGTGCACAGAACACTGTTACCTTCCCACCAAAGGTGGTCCCTATTTTTNTCCCCCTCTCTCTCATCCTATGTTTAGTCTTATTGTGATACACAATGTGTCTATATACAAGCTTATATGTTGTGTTCCTCATTACCTTAAGTAATTTTTATAGACAAGGTCCTAAAGAAAAATATATACAGTATTTAATAGAAGTAATATAAAAAGATATGACATTTAATCATTTCTATTATAATATGCCTTCAACTTTATGATTGCAGCCAGCTAAAAATCTCTGTTTAACTAAGAAACTTAGTAGATAATTTTTAGCAAACCCTAACCCTCTTTTACAAAGAAAAAATCAGAACGCAAACCAGCTAAGAACTATAGCAGAGCATCAATAGTAACACAATGAGAAGTAAAACACATTCTATTTCTACCTAGCTTTCTCTTTTTCTACCTTCTCTGATTCTTATTTTTTATACGTTTGTTTATTCAAGATCCCATTTTGCTGTTGATGTTCGTACATCATCGTCTAGGGGAATGGTCTTCTTCATGGGAGATCAGATGGGGAACAGATATGTTGCTCTTTACCTTTCAAAAGGACGGTATGTCCTTGCAGTTGCCTATGATGGAAAAAAGATAAAAATCAAGAGCAAAGCTAAATACAGTGATGGACAGTGGCATATGGTGAGGATGGGTTACTTATGTTTTTTTTCTAAACAGCTGTTTGTTGCTTATTAGAGTATAGCAATGTATCACAATGTCTAGACACTCAAGTCAATGATTTCACTATTGGGCACAACTGCATACCTTCTTGTAAAGTTGTGAGTATCTTTTTATTTAAAAAAGGTTTGATTAAAATTAGGATTTTTCCTAAAAAGCAGATTAATTGAAATTTGCTTATGTTGCAAGTTTTGAGATTGTCTTTCATTGAGGTGCAAAAGTTCTTCTAAAAGTGTCTTTTACGGGTCTGTGAGAACCATGCTGCCAACCATTATTCTACCTCCAGTTCCTTCTGTCTGTCCAGTATGCTCTAGGCCCCTTGCAGAGGTGGTTTGCTGACGGTTTGGCCTGGATCAGCCGAACCGGTAGTAGCAGTGGTGGGACGCTCCACCCACCCGGCCGGACACTTCTGCGCATGTGCAGAAGCATCACGCACACGGGAGCGTGCCTGAACCAGTAGTAAAGAAATTGGCAACCCACCTCTGGCCCCTTCCTTTATTAAATGTTGCAACCATGTGGCACTAAAGAAACATGGCTTCACTATTGCAGTCCCGGCCCTCCCTCTCTACAAGGATTCTGGAAGTCTCTTAAGACCTGGCTTGATTTCTAGGCCTGATGTTCAAGGATTTGGAGTATCCTGAAAGTATTTCTTAAATATTCCTGATATGGTTCAGTGTGGGCAGGCATATTTCTGGGATTATGTATTTTAAATTTGTAAATTTCCCAGAGCTTTTTTGGATTCAGATAGTCTCAAAACTCAATACATAGTTAAATGTATAAATAGCTTCTGCTTTCAATATACTGTGAATATTCCACAGCATGCTGTATAGTATCTTTTTATTTGTTTGTTGTATTTATTTTTAAAATGTGCTTTTTTAAATCTAAGGTCAATTAAGTATTGCTTAATCACCATTTGATACGTTGGTTTAAGATTATGTTTCTCTCCTGAAAAGGTGACATTCAGCATTAGTGAAAACAAAATACGCCTAGTAATCGATGGTTTGAAGACTCACGAAGGAAACCTGCCATCTTCTTATTCTTATTCCCAGATAAATGCATCAATATATCTAGGAGCTGTTCCATCATTAAACATTAAGGTAATAATGGAGAAGTTGTTCAATATGAATTTAAAATTGGGGTTTTTTTTTACCCCAGATCATCTATAATTGCCAAGGCAGCAAATGTCTCTTTTTCTCTTTCAATTCCTTGTTATTAATGGAAAGCTAAAGTATAATACTCATGTCATCTTTCCACTTGACTGCCACTGGACTGCCTTCATTTTGCCAGACATCTACTCCATGGGGTGAAGATAGTAATATAACATATATAATAATATTATTATTCTAATCTATGTTGGGTGTATGTATCTTCAGAATATTCCAGAGAAGAGTTTTGTGGGCTGCTTGAGAAACTTTCAAGTTGGGAGAAAACACATGTATACTTACCAGCAAAACAATGGTGTCCTGCCTTGCTTGGACAATATTTTGGAGAATGGTGTTTCATTTTTCAACGAAGGAGGATATATTGTGATTGGTGAGTGTAATAGAATGAGTTATTTATGCTGATCTAAAATTCTGTATGCATGTTGTCATCCTACCACATGAAGCACAGCACCATGGACACATAGAAAGAAATCCATAGAGCTTCTCCCTTTTATTAAATAGCTACTCAAAGAATTCTTGTAAGAAGCAGTATGAAATTGAATTAATACTTTTAATTTTCTTTTGAATGGAACTTTTCCTTTTTTAAATTCCAGAAAACACCTTTTTAATAAACATAGACTATAGGATTGCATTTAGCATCCGTCCAAGAAGTTCCACTGGCATTTTAATCCATGCTGGCAGCAGTCAAGAAAACTATTTCACTCTTTACATGGAAGGAGGCACGGTAGGAATGATTTTTGTCTTGTTTCCTCTTCCTTATCTCAAATGTTATGTTGTGGTGTAGACTGGGAGAGTGGGAATGATTCTGGCCGTGAATTCCTGAAACGCGCTACCATTTGTTATTGAGTCTCCTTTTGGGAGATCTTTTATAGCTGTGATTGCCCAATGTATTGCCTGTTATGTCTTTTGCTTCATATGATTATTTAAAAGGATTTGAAGTGGGAAGCTGGCATCAAAGGAAGTCCGACCATCACTTTATTTACTAGAATGCCTCTGGCTTTACATAGGCCTTAAGAATACTTAAAGAATGGAATGGTACAACCTAGGCCTTATTAGAGGGTGAAATTGGAAAACAATAGAGAAAAATGTTAAAAACTATCATAGGATTTTGACAAAACAACATAGAAAAATTTCAAAGTTTGCCTCCCCGAGAAGCAAGTATTTTGTAATTAGCTTTGCCTTCCATAGCAGTCCCTTTATTTGAATACCTACAACATGCAGTCATCATTCCAGATAAAGCCATCATCCTCAAAGATAGACATTTTATGGAGGTGTGGTTTTCATATTCTTTACTTTTACAAACTGAGATATTAGACCACAGAAAACAAATCATAGAATAGTGTTAAGTCTGGCATGACCCCCAAAAAGGAAGACTATAAACAATATTTGGATAGCAATAGCAATAGCACTTAGACTCAGTTTACAGAGTCAGCATATTGCCCCCAGCAATCTGATCCTCATTTTACCCACCTCGGAAAGATGGAAGGCTGAGTCAACTTTGAGCTGGTGAGATTTGAACTGCCAAACTGCAGCTACCTCAGCTCTATGGATGCAATTATATTGAAAGTTTATTGTTGAGTTCTATGGTGTAAGAGTGGATGCTTCTGAGATTGATAAAATCTATCCCTTTCCTGTCAATGGCAGTACTAGTTGGCTTACTCTCCTCTATGTGTGTTATTGTAAATTGCCAGAGACCAGTAAAATTAGCAATCCAACCCAGGGAAAATCAGTTGAAAAACCTTAGGTTAGTGAAATACAGCATTTAAAAAAGTTTTCTCTGGGGATTCTCAGCAGATGGTAACCTTCTTGAAGCATAGCAATCTGAAGAATGGCAGTCTGTTCTAAAGATGCTGATAATATTAGGTAGTAAAGCTCAGAAAATCTGACAAAGATGTGTTCCTTGTGTGTATTTTTATATTTAAATGTATTCCTATTGTTGGTAGTAATTGAAAATGTTTCTCCTTTTCACAGCTCACTGCCTCTGGAAATAATGGTGCTGGCGAATTTTCTCTCTCTGTCACACCTCAGCAATCTCTGTGCGATGGACAGTGGCACTCTGTAGCAGGTATGGTGGAGTTTTATTCATTAATTGTTTACGGAGAGTTTACGGAGTTTAAGTCAATATGAAAGAACTTCATAAAGGTATATGTTCTTTTCCAAGAGACAAATTTAACTCTTTCAAAGGAATCCTTATAGACAACTAGAGGTTTGCCTAAAACTATTTATGCATAACAAAGATTTATGAAAGTTGGTACCATTATTTTTTCTTTCCTTATAATGTATCCTTGATAATTTTCTGATGTTTTGAATAATAGAGAAATAAATGAATGTTGTAACAAATTCCTATGACAAAATGTATCTGATTGAAGACCAAATGACATTGTATGTCATCTAAAAATAATATTGGCTTAAAATCTATTTTCTCCTTTGAAAATTACCTTTTGGAGAAGGAATATTTTGCAATATAGAAGGGAAGAGAGAGAAAGAAGGGAGTGTCAATTTTTTTCTGTTTTAGCCTGATTTCCTTGAGATTTATTTCTTCTTAATTAATTTCTTTCAGCAAAAGACTCAGGTTTTGCAAGATAAAAATATAACCAACTCCATAAGAGTAGTTGTAGAGTTGGATAGGCAGGCTGGCAGGCTCACAGTATACATTTTTAAAATAAATAAATGTAGAAGAGCAACTTGGATGTAGATATAACAGAACATTTAAATATGAGACATATTTCATGATTACTGCATCTGCCCATCACTGAAGGGATTGACTTAGAAGATTATAAAGCAAATTATTTTCAGATACATTGACAAACAGAATTGAATGAAAAACATTTATTTATTTATTTATTTATAGTTAGTTAGTTAGTTAGTTAGTTAGTTAGTTAGTTAGTTAGTTAGTTAGT